GTAATCATATACAATTAGCCTTTTTTTGTTCTTTTATTTTTTTTTAAAAGAGTCTTAAACAACACACAAACTAAACAACTAAAATGAGCTATTCTAGTTTCTGTCAAACCAGTATGCACAATGGAAACAACTCGGATAATAAAGAGTAGGTTTGAAAGTCCCTTTTTTTTTTTTTTACTGAAGGTTTACTGTGTTTTTCCTATTGTGACAAGTCAAAATGTCTGCTGTGAGTAAGGGAAAGAAATAATAATGCTATAATTTTAAAAATGGAGTGAACTAGTAGTGGTAGAAGCTGCACATTGGGCCTCATTTCTAATGAGGTTGTTAACCACTGACCTTAGTGAAGCATTAAACTGCAACATGAGGAAGAAAATGTGGTCAAAGTTCAAATTCAGAGCACGAGGATGAACCCGGCCTCAGAGTGCGCAACAGAAGCTGGCTCATCGTTTTCATCACATCTCATTTTAAAAGTTTGTGAAGACTTCATATGTTCGTACCAACGTTCCCGCAGACATAAACTAGATAATTTGAGCTTTCCATATGATAGAAGGGTCTGGGGATGTAAGGCGGCTTAAGCTCTCTGAGTTTAATGTTTTACGTTTTTATAAGTGTGATGTGACTTCAGTAAAACACTGTAAGGGGCAAAAAGTTTTACAACCTCAATAGAAATTTTAGCTGACATGGCTAAGTAGCAGACATTAATCATTTTTGGACCGTGAACACCTCAAAACTAAAAGCCTCCTGTCCGGCAGAGACGACTGTTCACTCAGAATCAGCTGTCTCTCATCAACCTCTTCATGTCGTTGAATCTATTTCCCAGCAACAGTCTCTACTACAAACATCTAGATGACCAAGTTTGAGAACCGCTGACTCGGACCTACTTTGTGTTGACCAAAACATTTCTTCAGAAACGCTTTAACAGAAGCTTCTATTGAGAAGGAAAGTGGAAGCAAATAGCTTTTAAAACAAAACCTGCCAGGTTCAGACCATGTATCAAGGTTTGGATCTGGATCATTTTGTTTTGTTGCATAACGCTTTGGGCTTGGGGTGGGTTATTAATTATATATTGGTTATTTTGAAATGTACCTGCATTTCTAGAGTGTAGTCTGTGTGTTATATCAGTGTGGTGAGGTAAGGGTCAGATGTAGATGACGTGTGGAGCAGATAACATGCTAACAGTGTGGGGGTGGGGGGGGTGCTCATATTATGTAAACTGCTGCCGTGAGCCATGTGGTGATTGTATACGCTTCTCATTGTTGATGGACAGTAAAAGGGCGTGGCTGTAGGGACGGCAACATCAGTCTTTTGTTCGGTTGGGCGACCACTTTGGTCCAGCCTGAAATTCATCATTAACTATTAGATTGATTTTTGATTGACAAAGAAGATGCAGCCATTTATTATTTAGCGGATTGAATATTGAAGCAAAATACTGGACCCTGAAGAACTGGATCCTGATGTTCCAGCTCTTCAGACTTTTTCTCTCTGCACCTGGGAAGTAAGCGAAATTCTGCCAGACATTCTTACTCTGCTTCTACACCTTTGGTCCAGAAAATCAAATTACAAAATCCATTTGCAGGCCTCTATCACATAGCATCTTTTATTTTGTGCATATTTAGTCATTCTGCCAGTCAGCAGCTGTTGGCTTTTAAAAACACATTTCAATTGAACTGTACTTCCACAGTTCTAATGTCCATATTTAAACGCCTCCAGTCTGTCTGAACGCTACAGTCACTCTCCACCCCCCTCTTTGTATTTATATCCACGGTGAGCTGCAGCGATACACTGTTTCAAGGTTGGCACCTGTTCCCAGACAACTCCATCGAAGCAGTGAAACAACATCTCTCTGCACGGCTGCGGGACAACGGCCAAATCGGACGGTCCAATAACTCCCCCGAACACCACAGGGTGGAAGTCAGTCCCAGTTAAATTCAGTTCAGTTTTACTTCTGAGCTTCTGGAAGGGTTGTAGTTCAGTTTCAGTAAAGAAAGGTTCCTGCTTGGACGTCCAAGATGGTTAATTGAGAACTATTATGGCTGTTTTTGTGTATAATTCAGGTCGGCGATTCAGTGGAGAAACTTGAATCCTCTAAACTGGGTGTGACTGATGTGGATCTTTGAAGGCCACTACAATAACAGAAACTTTAGACGGAAGTCTGGTACAAATATTTAGTGTCTTGGTACTAGACCGTGTCCAAATTAGAGCCCATCTGATACCCTTTAAGGACAATATCAGTCTTTGAGAGTAAACCCCTGACACCAATATCTGCTGATATTCTCTTTTCTTTTTTTTGTTGTTGTTGTCAATCAATGTTTTGAATATTTTAACAATAGAAAGAGATAGATATAAACTTCAACAAAACATGGGAGCCAGGCGGGACGTACATTTCTTGAATACTGTCCTTTGATTTATCCAGATATGTCAGCGTTCTCATTGTTTGCAGTGGAAGTGATGTGTTTCTCCCATTTTCTGGGAAAGGTCTCCCTTTTATTTCTTGAGGAAAATGTCAGTTTTTCCGTCACACGTCACACGCCTTTATATATCTTTAGTTATCACTTTTCTGCAGGAAACAATTAGAATTTTCCAGAGGGACAGAACCTTTTGTTAATCCAAAATACAATGTCTGACTGGAATTGCATAATCCAAAATAGCTCTAAGGGTATATTTCTTACAAAATGTGGGAATCTTTTTACACAACCAGAAATTAAACGTAACTATTAGTGTTTCCCACAGAATGACAGTGTAACGGGGGGACGTGACCTCACTTCAAAGTCTCAGTTTGTGCTGGGGCGCTTCACATTTATAACAGAAAGCCTGTGTTGCACAGTTAACTTGTTGCATTATGGGAAATGTAGGATCCAGCATTTGTGTTGGCCTCTTCTGCTTTGATTATTTGAGTCTCTCTTGTGAGTCCACACACACTTTGTGGAGGGGAAGTACTAAATCATCGGCGGACCCCTTTAACATCAATATGATCCCTCAAATTTGGATATTACAGACTTGTGACACGCATGTGATGTACTGAGGCAGGATATACAGTACAGGACTATAGATGCTGTTATTGAAGTTGATAGAAACGGTAAATAGAAGATTGCAGAAAATGTTGAATATTTGCTGAAAATTAAACTATGACTATAGTATAAGTGCAAATACAGTCAAAAGGTAACTTTGAATTTGGAATAGCAAGGGTCAAAATTCTATAAAGATGCAGATATTGTAACATTTCTATTTTTGCATGTCTGCCAACATAAAACTGTAAGTTGATACTGACATGTCCAATAACCAATTGTGGCCTCCCTATTACTTGTTTAGTCTGTCCTTCCAAAGACTAGATCATTTATTTTACTACTTAACAAATAAATATTAATTGTCCCAACTTTGAATTGAGTTTGGTTACCCGACATTAACAGTGTGTTTTTGACCGACTCAACAACTATAAATCCAACCACCAGTCCACGGATGGTGTTTAGTCAGCTTCTCTCTGGAGAATAAAATTAAAAGTAAATAAAAATAACATGTTTTCTGGTCCGATTCATCTAGCTGTTCTCTAACAGGTCTTTTCTCCTGTTTCTCTCCTCAGTATCGGATGCAGACAGCAGTGAAGGAGGCTTCCAGCTAAAAAAGGAACATGCCCTGCGAGTACTGGGCTACATCGGCTCCTGGACACAGAGGTCAGTACGAGTCAGCTGAGAACATTTACACAACTACACAAATGCAAACAGAAGAAGTTTTGACATTTGACTTTTCTTGGTCCTGTGTTTAAAGTTTAAGGTTATTCCAAACTGTAAGTAGCACCTGCAGCTCGTTGCTTCCCCAGTTCACTTATTAAATGATCTGTTGAGGGGAAAAAATCAGAACCACATTTTGACCTAATGTCATAACGGTACTCTTAATGATATGCTGTGTCAGAGAAAACACTGCAGGAAGTGCTGAATTTGCATTAACAGTAACATCACACAGTTGCTTTTTTTTTGGTGTTGCTTTTTCCTTTGGCGGGACTTTATCTCTACAAGTCAGCGTGGTGGGGTTTTCTCTGACCTGCCTTCAACTCTCTCTGGGCTGTAGGACTGCATGTCTTTCAGAAACACTAGAAAGGGAGAAAATGGCAAATATAATTTTAGACAAGCTGGATGGAAACCCGTCTTGAAAATGATGTAAAGCAGTGAGAAAATTCTGGAAATACGGGAAAAACTCGAGTCATGCTGGCTCATCACCCGCTGGGATGATCTTGTCAGGGGAAATGAATGACTCCTCGTTCCCTTCTTCAGCAACTAACAGTCCAGCTGCCCTCGAGCAAGGCATTACATGCGGTGAAGCCTGTGGTTTGGTGTGTATTTGACTTTACTGTGATGGTTACTGATGTTTCAGAGACGCTTCGGTAGATAAATAGATTTTTAAATTTTTATTTTAGAGTCCAATGTGCCCTGACAGCCGAGGTCATCAGACGACATGAGCGTTCTGACTAAAGATGACTCTCATTTACTTTGGTGTCTTTATTCATCCAGCTGGAATGTTTTTATACGTGGTGTATGAAGGATTCATGATGAGTGATTCTGCTGACTCATTTGTTTAAATTATACCAAGAAGAAATCCTTTTTTGGCCCTGCTGTGTGCTTTATTTTTAAGTGTATAACACTTCCATCTTCAGAGAAAGAAAAGAGGAAATTGCAGGTGACCTGATCTGTACTTTGATTTAAGTGATGGGTAAGAAGTACACTGAGACGTGGCAAAACATCTGTGTGTGAGTACACTCACACATTCTCGGTTCTCTTTCCTGAATGTGACAATAAACTCGAAGCTGCTCTTCGTTTTATTCTTCTTTTATTGTTTATGCAAACAAATTGGTAATTTTATCTGTAGAACTTGTGAATTCAAAGAAGACGATCAGCTAATCATGACGATGGCGATTAAAATGTAAGTTAATTATACATCTGACCCGTTTTAAACAGTCATGCAGTTACAAATTCATTCCGTTGTCGTCCTTGCTCGCCAATCATGCGCCTCCTGTTACGGTCCTACTCACCAATCAGAGCGGGCACAGGGCGGGTACATTTTACAACAACAAACGAAACCCATAGGAAAACGTGGGACAACGGCAGATGCGGCGGCCGCCATTTTGTCCGTCCTCTGCCTGGCGTCAACTCACTCTGGAAGTGTTTCAGCAGCGCCGCGTTTAGCTTTCCACACGCTGTTGATGTGTTGTTCATTTGTCCTTTCTTGTGCTTCTACTAAAATAACATCTCTCTGTGAGCCGGTTTGGTTGGAGCATTGATGCTTGGAGCATTTCAGAGCATTTTTCCTGCCGGATTTTGCTGATTTTGTTGATTTGTTCAGTTGTCGTTGATTTTTGTTCTTCTACCATGGTTAAGTAGGCTACGTAGTTCAATTTTTCTTTTGTCTGTTTTAACGGTGTTTATTGTTGATTGTACGATTGGGAGTCTGCACAGGGTGTTTTGATTTGTGTCTCATGTGGTAATGCTCCATGACATGTTTTTTTATATTACAAAATGAATATTGAAAATTAGTTTAACTTAAAAAAAACTGCAAATCGAATCAGAATCGAGATTTCTGGCGGAAAAATCCAAATTAGCTTTTTTTCCCCCCTCTATCGTTCAGCCCTAATTGGATGGGAATAAAATCCTATATGCATATTAAGTTTTTAAGCACCGTACATTTTGCCTCTCATTCACCCACCGATGGCAGTGAGCTACCATGCAAAGTGCTTGTAGCACCAGTAGCAATTCAGTGTCTTGCCCAAGGACACTCCAGGAACAGGAGGAGCTGGGGATCAAACCGCCAACCCTGTGATTAGTGGACGACCCGTTCTACCCTCCCATGCCAGAGCCCCTGTTTATATTACAAACCTTGTGATCCAATAAAAATTTAATCTAGGCTAAAAATGCATCTCATCTTGATGGGGGGGGGGGGGATCTGTGGGTGAGATTACTGTGTGTAAATGTGTCAGATGTCACTGTGACGAGACATACAGGTAGTATTGGAACTTAGCATTGTCTGATAACAAACTCAGCTAGACTAAACTATAAGTCTGTAAATCTAAAAGGTAATTGTTGGATTAATCTGTGCTAAAAATAATCACAAACTAAATCACAATGTGAGTATAGCTGAAGTAAACTGAATGAGGCTTTAAGGTTAAAGCAATATTTCCTGATTAATACTACAGCTCTTTAGCAAAGTGAGACATTAATTAATCTATCATAGTTTGCTAAAGGCCGCCTACATGACAAAGAGTAATTGCAACGACACAGAGGGTATTCCTGCTGATAACACTTAGATGTAACGATGTCATTTCCTGTGATTGACATGATAAACATATAGAATCCCATTTTCACAGCAGAAAAGAAAGAGGAATTTCCCTTCATTTATTTTCTATTTTCATGACTGAAAAGGTTTAGCAAAACAACAAGAAATGTCATAAATGGCATCGCACTTTTTATAGAAATACAATAAAATCGTAATTTGTAGCACCATAATTACAATACCGCTCAGTGAGATCCTGAAGTGACTGTTTTGGGAATGAAGCTCTTTGGCCATGTTGATGCCTCTTTAACATTTCCTGTTTCTTCTGCATCGTCTTCAGGCAATGTCTCTGCTGCTTCAAGGAGTACAAGCACCTGGAGGTCTTTAATCAGCTGGTCTACGCCCTCATCAACCTGGTCATCGCTCAGATCAGCAGCCTGAGAGACCGTCTCTGCAGCGTCCAGGACCACACCCATAAAGGGGACGTGTCTGGGGCCGAGGGTGTGGGGTCTGAATGGAGCGGGACAGAGTCTGCGCCTGGGCCCCTCCCTCAGCCGTCCTCGCCTGGAGAGGACGAACCCGTGAATGTGGAGAGAGACTCTGCCGAAGAGGACGCAGACACTCCCGACCTGAACCAGAATAAGACCCAGAGCCAGGGTCAGGTGGACAACCAGCCGTCTGAAGCCCAGACGGAAGCACTGGGGCCCGGGGAGGGCAGCAGTGGGTCCGGGGGTGGTGATGGTGGTGTCGGTGCAAACAGCAGCAATGACAGCCAGGACCCATTCAGCTCCTGGAGCACAGAGGAGAGGGAGAAATTACTGTTATGTGCCGCCAAGATCTTCCAGATCCAGTTCCCCCTCTACACAGCCTACAAACACAACACACACCCCACCATAGAGGTAAGGACAAGTCCCGTATCACACACCACCATGCCCACAGAGTAGAGCCTGACAAGTGCTCCATTTTTGAAGCTGATATTGATGAGTCTGAATAAAGAACAATGAAATGAAATTAAAAGCATAACAAACATATTTTCCCGTAAATTAGCTTAGTACAGCAATGAGAAATTAGCCTGAGCGAGACTCCCTGGAGTCTTGACTAGGACACAGCACCGGGCCGTTGGTCACCACGTTTGTTTGTGAACAGATTCAACCAGCCAAAAAATGTTGTGTTAATTAGAGAACGTTAGAAGTGTTAAACTTTGGATTTAAACATTCTGCTGATTCCCTCTTCTTCCAGTCTTTGTGCTAAGCTAGGCTAAACCCCTAGGTCTAACTGCACTGATGTTTTGTTGCTTTTCTGTTGACAATACCAAAACCAGCCTTGAATAACTTTGTTTCAGGATGCTAAAAGTGTTCTTGTCCCGCACGTCCTCTGAAACTCTGGCATCTCTGTTTCTTTCCTCCAGGACATATCTGCTCACGAAAGCAACATCCTCGGCTCCTTCTGCGACATGAACGTAAGCAATCTACCTCCCGTCAATCACTTTAAGGCCAGTTAAGACAAATGCTGCAAAAAAGGACATTTCCTGAAACCTAATTCTGAGAGCCATTGTCTAAAGATTAATCTCTGTCGTCTTGTTCTCGTGCTGGATGCATCTCTTTAATTTATTCTATCCTCAAAATTAGTTTTCTTGGGAAACGAGCTCCCTGCCCAAACCCGACAGCTGTGCTGCATCCAGAGCATGAGCTGGAGGAGCAGGGGGGGATGATGAAAACTAGATGTAGGCCTGGGGCATGTTGGGAATTGCTGTAACAGACGAGGACATCAGGGACCCGTATGTGCCTAACAGTGTCACATGACCACCGAAGAGACTCAGGTTTATCGGTCACATCTTCACTCAGCGGGCCCAGCATTTTGCGTTTTAGTTCACTTCTTCTAGCACTAGTTTTCACCGAGTCACCTCCTGTAACTTGTCTCAGATGTCTCTATTCTGCAGCAGATTCTTCGTCAAGTTGATGGCAGTGTGAAGATGTTTGTCAACTGGAAGTTAATATCTCAGTTACATTCAAAACCTTCTGTCAAATAAAGTCAGAATGACAAGGTTATTACTTACATGTCCCAAACTCCTGCCTTGTGTCTTCTCCCGCTTACAGCAGCCACACGTGCATAACATTTAGTCATGGAACTGTTTCAGTAAACCTAACCAAAACTTTGGGTTGCAAAAGCTATTGTGAAATAATGATTGTGATCATGATTTTGGTTTCCATCATCAGTAAGTAACATGAGGGAGCCAGTGTGACACACATGGGTTTGAATTTCTGCCTAGTTTCACTGTCACACTGAGCAAAAGTATAAAAGCAATGGTATGGTATAATTTTGTTCCGTGTATTTGGATTTAAATCATTAGTAAGGATGCATTTTACCCCCGTTTATTAATGATCAGTGATCAACTGTGAATGTTAAATATCCAAGATTAACTACCAGATCCAAAACAGTTCACCATTATTATAATCAATTAGTAAGAGAAGTAATTTGATTTCATACATTTGTTAGTTACTTCTGTGCAATGCCTCCATAGGTACTGTTACTGTGCCTGTCAAGCTTTGCAGTTTTGCCTGTGTAGCTCTGGAAAACTGTTTCTGTCACTCGTTTGTGAGACGGCGATTAAGCTTGCCGCACCTAAATTTGGAGTGCACACGTATTCAAGCTTTTATGGTACCTGAAACGGCCCAGAGCGAGCTGACAGGCAGGTTAGAGACTTTATCCTGTCAGTTTGTCTCTTTACAAAGACAAGTGTTGCAGTATGAGAGTCCTAGCTGAAGAGAGGCTGTCAAGTCTTCATGTTACGCGATACGAAAACCACATACAACATTATTTATCAAACTGGGTCGGACTGGATGACTATAGCGCGAGGACGCATATGTGACAACATTCGGTTTTCAAAATAAAGTGTCTTTACAGTATGGAAATAAAATTAATTGGATCATATTCACTGAAAGTATAAAACATATTGCATATGTCCGTTAAAAGTAAAACGACAACAATAAAACGTTATGGAAGTTATTTATTATATTTTCTATTCTTTGATTTAGGGAAAAACATAATAAAATAAAAATAAATTTTTTGACTTTTGTTGCTGTTTCATCACTATTTATAGCTATACAATAGTTAATGGTTAAAAAATTTATTAGACCACAACATTGTTGTCAAGTGTACATTTAATTTTGCACCAATTGAATGCATTTAACTTTAAAAAAAAAAAAAAAAAGAAAGGAAAAAAAAGGGGCCCCCAGAACCCCCAACAGGGTTCGAGGCCCACCCACCATAGTATCTTAAGATCCTGTGGGAAACACTGAAGTGTACACTGCTGCCTTGTTATTATTAACTTAAACTTTAGTATCTTCCAGTTCGGTGTGTTGTGAGCAGAAACCCCCCATTATTTTCCAGAAACCCAGTTCTTATTTTGTAATTCGGTTATTGCTGTTCTGAAATCCATTCAGCATTTCACTCATGGGGCAGTTCTTATTGTCTCCTGATCTCAGAAAGCTGATCCCCAGGCATCTGAGGATCCAGATTTAAATGTTGTCTGATGTGTAACTTTGTTCTGCTCTGTGTTTAGTGGCCCAGCTTGGATTTATTTGGTCCAGTTGACTCTGCTTACTTTTGTTTTTGAAATACAACTGGACTAAATGGCTTCATATGGAGTGGAAAATGCTCAAATGGAGTAGATTTACTATAACACTAAGACAGAAACTAGCATTCTTCTGTTCTTTAGATCATTTTGGTGTGAATCACCTTCAGATCCGTACAAATGTGTAGCAGATTATGACGTACCAGAAAAAGGCACTTCTAGATTACTGTTATCAAAGGCAGCCAAAGTCACATGAAACAAAAATAACTCTGCTTATGGTAGATGTTTTCTTGGAAAAAGACCGTTTACATGTTCAGTTTTTACCGAGAGGCAAAACTTTTTATTCAGAAGGACATTCTCGCATAGTTTTTGGTTCAAGTGAGTCAGTGTTGAGTGTTTTGAATTGAGTAGTCTTTGTTTAGCTAAGTTTTGTCCACATTTCCTGCCCTCTTTGGTGGTTTTACGCCTACATTATTACAATGTGCTGAGCCTCATAAAGTCCACGGTAATGTGGTTTCTCTGGTCTTTGCCCCCGACGCCGCTCTTTGTGTTCTGAGATAAAACATTTAAGAGGTCAGAATGATTTCAATAACAATGTTTTTGAAAGGAATGCAGTACCTCTATGTTAAATGAGCTCATGTGTATATTGTAGTTTGCCAAAAGGGTTTAGGGCTTAAAACTAGTATAAGAGCTGTTCTGGGTGAGTTGCCCTTTATTGGAAATGGTTTGGTTTCCTGTCGATGAAGTCATTGTCCCCCAGAGAGCAATAATGTGTCCCCAAATAGTCTGCTACCTTGATGGCTTTTACATTCCCACCGTAATAAAGTTTTCATTAAACTCAGGTGCAGGAAGGTTTGGAATTTAAGAAAAGGCTGTATGAAAACTTAAAGAACAGTTGGGCTAGAAAAGAAAAACAAAGCAGCTTTCACTGTTTCTACTGGCCAAAACAACTGATACACAACATAGAAATATCGGATGTACATTGATGGATACTAATTAAAATAAACGAGGTCCAAACAAGTTCACCGTTTTATTGTTAAATGAACCAAAATTGGCAATGCAGTGCAAAGACTAAACTGCTGAATAGAAGTAAATGTTGAAAGAAATGCTGCAGGTCTTGTGACAAACTTAACTTTAATCTTGCAGCTGAGTTCAAAGCAGCTTTTGACATGATTGTGAATTCATTTACAAGGTAGCGTTACCAAAGCACTGCCTTTTCACAGATAAACAACCAGATTTTTAAGGGAGGAGTTCAGTTTAAACTAATTGTCGCCTAGGTTTTATGCCTAAATGCAAACATTTGTGTATCCTCAAAAACACAAAAACAGGGCGAATAAAAATACAAATGTGCTTTTGATGTTATAACGTGTGTCTGATGTTGTCCCTCCTCATTGGCCAGGATGTTGAGGTGCCTCTGCATCTGCTGCGTTACGTCTGTCTGTTCTGCGGGAAGCACGGCCTCTCCCTGATGAAGGAGTGCTTCGAGGCTGGCACTCCAGAGAGCCTCCCCTTTCCCATCGCCCACGCCTTCATCACCATCGTCTCCAACGTGAGTCCACCAACCCAGACGAACACAAATGCTGCTTACTGCTGACTGTCACTTTAAAAGCCATGCTTTGGAAGAACTCCTTTTTCCATCATTTAGACCTAAAAGTGAACCAAAAACCAAAATCCAAACATGTAAGATTGAGAGATTAGTTTTTCAGATGGATTTGGAGGGAAAGTGATGTTTTTACCTGTTAAGGATTTTTAAGGACACCTAGCTACAAGTAATGAAGTTTAATACAACAGGCCTGCAATAAATCTCGCTTCATTTATTTTAGTGAGAGGGTTTTTCAACTTAATGGTCATTTATGAGGTTGTAGTTTGTGGCGCTGTTCGTATTTCATTATACTGGCAGATGTTTCTTACATTTAACCCAGCCTTATTGGTGAAAAGGGGGGGGGGGGACTGTATTAGCTTTGGCTAGATGTGCCTCATAAACTGCCAACTGAAATACTTTTTAATACTTTTTAAAACGCTCAACGTAGATTATCTCCTGTGTCTTTGTGTTTCGTGAGTTTGTTGTTAAATACTTTGTGTTTTTGGTCATGCCCACAGATCCGAATATGGTTGCACATTCCTGCGGTCATGCAGCACATCATCCCGTTCCGCACCTATGTAATACGGTGAGTTTACTTCGAACAGTCTTAACAGACTCTGCAGTTTGCTTTTATAAGGGAACAAAGTAGAAAGTTTTCCTGAGGGACATGCTGGTGAATTTAATTTAACAGCATTCTTAATCAAGCATTCCATACAACAAATGACAATAAGCCTACACGTATAAACATACAGACTCGGAACAATCGGCCAATCCTAGAGACCAAGAAAGAGAGAGAAAATATATGAAGACCCACTGAGGCAAATTTAACCTCAACTTAAATAAAATTTTAAAACCATTATCTTTGGAAATGTATCTCCTGCACATCTGTTTACATAAAGCTGCGCAAAGCTGAACATTTGTCAGATAAAATAAATTGAATCAGGACATTCAGCAGCCCCTCCATTCAACTGTAAGTAAAAAGAAGGAGAACATTTTTGCATATCAAGCCGGAGCTTCTGCACACTGCCACGGGCCTGCCTGAGTACCTGGTTTGTATATGACTGAGTAGCTGCCATTTTGTTGAACACCTTGCTTTTCTGTCAGCACAGCATCCAACCTCCTAACTCAGGCTGGAAGAAATGTAGCCTCTGCAGAGGATTGGTGGTGGTGACCTTTTGGATTCAAATTGGAACAAACCAAAATCTACATATGACTGCTGGGTCTTAATGAGTAACCTTCTCTCTCTGTGCTGCCAGTGCCGCTTTAAATGCCGTGGACAGCCGTCACTATCAGCATCTAGGTTAGAGGTGCACAATATATTGACTCAAAGTCCTTATTGCAGTGTCATACGGAAAATGTCATATGAAAGTCTGAGCTAATGGGTTCACTACACGCACATACGCCGTGGAGCATACCGCATTACGTGTGTGCAGACTTCTACAGTCACTTCGAGTGAGTAAAGAGGGAAAGAGAGCAATGAAAAGACAGAAAGTAAGAATATAGTACGGCTCAAGGAGACAATGCAGATCAGAAACGGGGCCCATCAACTTGTTTTTAGAATATCAAAATGAATATCGTTATCTCAATATTGATTATCAATGTTGCAATATCAGATTTTGTCAATTCTAATCTAGGTGCGACTCCCCGTCGACGTTCCAGACGTGGTGGATGTAGTCGCAGAGCTCTTTCCCTCCTCTGTCTCTCTCACTCACTCAGTCGGCGCTCCTCGCTCATTCGTGCGCTCTCTTCCTCCAAATACCCAAAGTGCCACACATGTGTTGCTAGGAAGAGCCTCCGTCGCCATAGCAACAGTTGCCAGGCCTCGCGTGAACCTCTCCTCACATGACCCTAGAGGAGGCACGGGCGCCGGCAGGCTCGGTCATGTGACGCAGGCAGGCTGATGCTCTGTTGCCTCACAGACTCTTGTGTCTCGGTAGAGCGGAGACTCGTCCAGCTCACTGTTGATTTGATCAAAGCCACTTTAGGTTTTAAAAAATTATAACCGCTGTCATCAAGGAGCAGCCTTTGACTGCCTCTGTCTTTCCACATCGAGGAGGAGAAGGTTATTTGTCTCCCAGCATTAGAGTCCTGTCTAGCTGTTAAAGAGCAACACACACCAGCGACATAATGATGTGCCACATAAATGCAGGGAGTAGCAAGATGAGCGATTAGGTATGCCAACGGTGATTCGCAGTCGATTAAAGCTTTACAAGAACATATAAAACACAAAACAGCATCTTATAAGAATTGCTAAATTAAAATAAAATGAAGCCTAAAATGAGAATAATGGGTGGAAATCAGAAACGGTTTGATCAAAGAAGGTTCAATCGATCAGTTCACAGACTGAAATGTCTTAACAATTCAGGCGCTTGTTTTCCCCCTCAAGGTTGAATTGTTATAACGTTGGTGATCACCTGACCTTTAATCTAGAGAGCATGTTAGCATGCTGACGTTGGCATTTAGCCTAAAGCACCGCTGAACCTAAGTACAGCCTCACAGAGCTGCGAACGTGGCTGTAAACTCAGTCTTGTTTAATGATTAGTGCTACGTCAAACATTTCATTTGATACCAGTGCCGATTCAATGCACAGGCCTATTCATGATGTATTTTACGCTGTATAGCAGCATGTCATATCAAGTTAAACTTCTGAAGGAATAATTGTATAAGGAGCCCATGCAGACAATACAGAAATATTTTCTTATTGAGATGTGTTGACAAGCAGTCCATGTCAACTGACTGAACCGCACCTGAATGTTCAACACACTGTTTCTATCTCTGAGTCCTCGTGCTCTGCTTTAAGTCTAGTTAGTTTTGCTTTGTGGGTTGTGATAAAGAAAATATGTTTGCTGACGAGTTGGTAGCTAGTTCATAGCTTAATCATAATCAAAACAAGGCTGTAGTTCAATAAATCAGTTTGATCAGCAAAATCCAAACTCCTTTAGCTGCAGCTGTAGCCTTTCAGGTCATCGGAAAAGATCTGAGAACCACAAGCGCAACTACCCCAGCTCGGAGTGAAGACTGGATGAGTCAGCAGCACTCTGCTGTTGATCAGATAGCTCAACATACGCCTACGCAGGGCTGGAAAAGGAATGAGATCAAAATGAATGTCAGCGGTACTGGCAAAGTTCCTCAGATGTGTGAAAAGTTTAATTCATAGACAAAAATGTGGAAAAACCCAAAGTTAAAGCTTGGTTCTGTCAGGTTGTTATAAAATCATCAACAAAATCACGCAATTTGATTCAAGTCTTTTTCGTTATCAGTGCTGTGATGTCTAGCAGTTTCCTAAATTCTTCCTGCTGGACTTTTTGGTGACAGAAGCGCTGGTGGTGTATTTTGGAGCTTCGAAGAGGGTGGAAGTGTTTCTGCTTAAACTAATGTAGTGAAAACATTGCATTGAAAGCTGTATCTTAAGAAGAGCACACATTCCTCATTTTAGATATAACAATTATTAGGAAACCCACATACTTTAGAGGCAGTGATCAACAAAACTGACAATTCTCACAGATATTTTGTTATCTTTGGGAGAGTTTAATCATGTTTAACACTTAATTCTGTCCAAACATTAGCATGGAGAGCAGTTGCTTGAAGTTATGTCTTTTTCTTATGAATTTTGTACATGAAAGTCAAAATGTTTGTCAGCAGGTAAAGTCTTTGACACTTGAGCTAATTAGGACGCTGTTATCTGCAGGTATCTGTGCAAACTGTCGGACCAGGAGCTGCGGCAGAGCGCGGCGCGCAACATGGCCGACCTGATGTGGAGCACGGTGAAGGAGCCGCTGGACAGCGCACTGTGCTTCGACAAGGAGAGCCTGGACCTCGCCTTCAAATACTTCATGTCCCCCACGCTCACCATGAGGCTGGCAGGACTCAGCCAAATCACAGTGAGTTACTCTCCCAACATGACTGAAGTCAAGTCAAGTCACTCACAGGCTGCCGCGTTGTTTAGGCTGAAAGGAGCTGATTTTGATTCTGGTTCTGTATTCTTGATTTGAGTTTCAGCTGCAGCTCTGTTTCAATCCTTCTTTATCTCACTTATCATCAAAGATTTCCTAGTCATGGGGATTTAAAATGATGAATGACTTCCAAGTCTTCTTTTTGCAAGATCCTCGCATCCATGTGAGCAGGCAAATAACAAAATGTACTCCAAGTTTTATAAAAGGTCTTAGTTGCACAATGTTGGAATTTTAATGCTTTAATCACACACTAGAAAACAATCAGAGGCCTAAAAAAAGGTTTTGGATGGTGAAAAATACTTGATTCCCCCAATTAGCTGTTAGCGCTAGCTAGCATCTCCCGTTACAACACGTTTTTCGGCCATTATGCAACGTTTGCTAAATTAGTAACGAAGTAATATTAATTAGCTCAGCTGTATGTCATTACTAACTAATCTACTTGTCAAGGTTTGAGAACATCTGGTACAAGCTTAGACTAAACTGCTGTGCAGCTCTGTCCTGTACACATACTGTGCATCCTGATAAATATATTTCAGTTTTCAGAGGAGTCTGAAAACTGGTTGTTAAATGAGGAACCAGGGAGATGAGTTTAATAAAGTAAATTAGGGATGCAAACTAGTCCTTTTAAACTAATTAAGAGATATTTCTTTTGGATTTTAATGCGCAAATTAAATGTTTGGTAATTATCCAGAGATCCAGTATAGAAAATATGATGCGTCAAAATGCATCGATAATCGTTTTATAATCGCATCGCAGCCCTCTGAATCGTAATTGAATCTTGAGGTGCCCAGAGATTCCCACCCTTATTATGTAACGTTTAGCATTTTAGCAATCTCACATTACTACGTTAACATGCGTACAGGTTTTGAATTTTAAAATGTAAATGCTCAGCATGTTATATATATTTAGCAATTAGCATGTTAGCAGATATGAATGAAAAGTGTTGAGGACATATTGTATTGTTCCCCAGCTGATGATAATAATAATAAGTGACTGTATCATAAAACTGCCAGTGAAGAACGTGTTTTAGATACTTGATGTTATTGCTTAAAATTACAATAGGTAGTATTAGTTATAGTAGGACTGGTGTCATTATAAATGCACCAGCTGTTGATTAGCATGCCATCTGAATTTAATTCTACAGTGAACTCAATGATTTAAAACTTGCAGTTACACAATATTTCAGATTCATATACAGACTCCAGACATAATTCGACTTGCTTGTATTTCCCAACAGTGATAATTAAAGCCCAATGTCAGTTTGTCTGCCAATAGCTTTCTTTTAATTTTAGCATTCTGGTATGGCACTGATGGGAAATAACCTTGTACAAAGACTAGGGGTGGGAATCACCAGAGGCCCAACGATACGATATTATCACTATATTTATGTTGCGATTCGATTTTATTGCGATATAAATATACTGAGATATATTGCAATTTATTACCTTTTTCCAACTTCCACTTAGGTCCTAAAGTCAAACTTTGTCAACATCTGTTTATCTAAAAAGATACATTTTTGTTTGTTCATAGTCCTCTATATGGTCCTGTAAAGTTTTCTAGTGGACTATAAAAGCAATAGATTTTATTATTTTAGTACCAAAAAGTTAAAATTCCCATCTGCAATTTATATAATAAAATATCGATACTTGGCATCGGTGTATCGATACAGTATTGCCGTGGCAAATATCACGATACTATGCTGTATCGATTTTTTTTCTCCCCACCCCTAACAAAGACGTATACGTAACACTCTTGCTCTCATCATTGTTTCCTCAGAACCAACTGCACACTTTCAATGATGTCTGCAACAACGAGTCACTCGTGTCTGACACAGAAACGTAAGTTAAAGGGATCTGATGCCTGTGCACAAAGGTGCCAAGATAACCATTATTAAAAAAGTAATTTGGTCTGCTTTAATTCATTCATGATATAATGGCATTTGATTGATTTACGCGAAAGCAACTGTGAAACAGTCTTCAGAACTGTCAGTGTTTACTTTGATGGTCCATGTATAATGTTTTACTACATTTCCCATTTTCTCACTTGTGTATATGTTGAGTGTGGTTAAAAGACATATTTCTGTAACTTTTTCTGTACAGTCAATATGCACCGTGTCACAGCACACACATTTTACAAAATGATGAAGTATTCTTCTCTACATGTTGAGCTCATGTTAACATGTGTTACTTCGCTGAATGTTATGTTTGGTCATATGTCCAGGTCCATAGCAAAGGAGCTTGCTGACTGGCTGATCCACAACAATGTGGTGGAGCATATATTCGGACCAAATTTGCACATTGAGGTGAGACATTCTTATCCAGTGACGTGAACTGAAAACAGTTATATACAAACATACATGATGCATTTTTAACAAAATATTACACATTAAAGGCCATTTAAATGCAAATGTTCTCAAAGTTGTCAAAAGGATTTATATTCTCTTGCAAAACTGACTCCTCCAGTTTCTTCACTTAAACACAGCAACGCTGAAGAGTGGAGGGCAATATATTTCCTCCAAGCACAGCCGATCTTTAATGTGTGTTTGTTTTCCAGATCATTAAACAGTGCCAAGTGATCCTGAACTTCTTGGCTGCAGAGGGCCGACTCAGCACACAGCATGTCGACTGTATTTGGGCTGCAGCTCAGGTGAGACGGGACAGATATACACCTGACAGCACTCAGCTTTATTCCACTACATTAACCTGTTTGTTCCTCTGTGGAGTATTTTTCATTATATCTGTACTATCAAGGTGATGAGTAGAGCTGATCGATTAATCGTTTTCAAATCGACATTGCGATTTGAAAGAACATGCTTAGCTAATCGTGAGGATGGTGATTTAAAATGTAGGTAATTTATACAGCGCATCTGAACCGTTAAACAGTCATGCAGTTAGAAATTCTTGCCGTTGTCGTCCTTGTGTGTCAGACTTGCTTGCCTTATCTCTGTGAGCCGGTTTTGTGCCACTCTCCACAGGCTACATTTCCCACATGGAGCATTTCAGAATAAGAGCGTGTTGCCTGCCTGATTTTGCTGACCTGTTGAGATTTTGTTAAATTTGTTCGGTTGCCCTCGATTTTTGTGCTTCTACCATGGTTAAGTAGGCTAAGTGTTTTTTGTTTTTTTTTGTCTGTTTTAACTGTGTTTAATGTTGATATACGATCGAGAGTCTGCACAGGGTGTTTTATTTAGAAAATTTACCGGATTCTCTCAGCCATTCTGTGTCTGACTTCCTGCCCTGCTCATCTGCTCTGTGCTGCTTAACGCGTTTCATCAAAAATAGACTGGTAGTGAATATTGAACTTTAGCTAAACTAAACAAATTGCAAATCGAATCGTAATTGCAATATCTGGCAGAAAAATTGCAATTAGATTTTTTCCCCCCCAAAATCGTTCAGCCCTAGTGATAAACCACGGAAGTGTTGGCTGGTTGGTCTATCTGGAGTTAAATATTATGTAGTTTAACATTTATAAGTAGATAATGAAGTTATATAGATAAATACAGATTTGTTGATCAGTAAACAATTTAGTTCTCTATCAGAATAAAACAAAGAAATTTATTCTTACATGGCCTCTAGTTAGTAGGGAGGAATTTATAACTGCTATGCACACTGCAGTTGATCAGTCTAAATTAATAAGAGTTTAGAAATGTATACTGAATTAATCATAATGATGTAATAACATGTCATTCTTACCCAAATGTAATTGTATTCTGGTATATTAGAAGATTCTATACAGCCCAAATTTAAGTACAAAAACAACTCTGTACCAGTCAATGAGTAACTCTGTTTATGTTCTCCAAATATGAAATAATTTACTCTACTTTTTGTTTGGTCTTTTAGCTAAAACACTGTAGCCGTTACATCCACGACCTTTTCCCTTCCCTCATCAAAAACCTGGATCCAGTGCCTCTTCGCCACGTGCTCAACCTGGTGTCAGGCCTGCACCCCAGCGCCCACACCGAGCAGGTAAACGCACACGAAGCTGCAAACACGAGGAGTTGTATTTTGATGTGTTTGTTTTTCTGTGATAAACTCTCATGCGTTTCGCTCTACTCCTCAGACTTTGTACCTGGCCTCCATGCTGATCAAGGCTCTGTGGAACAACGCCCTTGGCTGCCAAGGCCCAGCTCTCCAAACAGAGCTCATTTGCCTCCCTGCTCAACACCAACATCCCCATGGGCAACAAGAAAGGTCAGTCTGGGTTTATTTGCAGCTCCAGGAAATTAAGATTGATGATTCGAATCTGAAAGTCCCAGCAACGACTAACCGAGAACGTAGCCGCAAGCAGCGACTCGTGGGTTCAAACCTTTTTGTCGCAGTAGCGACTTCAAAATAAAATCATACGTCCTGTAAATACTGTGACAATCTGACAGGCATTTTCTGATCAATAGCTTAAAGGTTCAGTGAGTAATAATTTTGAGCATCCATTGACAGAAATGCAATATATGATCCAAACATAAGACCTTGCATAATAAACCGTTCTGTTTTTATTACCTTCGAATGAGACATTTATATCTACATAACCGCGGGTCCCCCCAGGGTGTGTTGTCTCGTGGTTATTACGAATGTTGTATCACCTGCTGCGTTCAATCCAGGTTGCTAATAAATCTTCATAGCTATAAGGAATACTGAGAGCACAACCATGTAATGTGCAGTACAATTAATGACAGCTTATTAAATACTGTAAGTCAATAAAACTGTGACGTTGCATAATCAACAATAAATCTGTTTTTAACTTACAGAGCACAACCGTGTAGCCTAATGTACAATATGTCTACAATTATTGACAGCTTATAAACTACTGTAAGTCAACAAACCCTGTTGACTCTCAAATCAATAAAGCTGTAACCTGTTTTTAACTTACAGAGCACAACCATAATGTGCAATGCAATCACTGCAAGTCAACAATCCACTAGACTTTCAAACCAGTGTAACGTTATAACTAAATAAAACTGTAAGGTTACCTGATCAACAATAAACCTGCAACCTCTTTCTAGCCAACGGCCATAATTAAGGTGATTGCAGCCAGCGGGACGTAAATGATTACATTTATCGACCACCACAAGTTTGGCAAGCAAAGAAACACTCATTCATCTTTTCATAACCAACGGCAGTCAGAGCAAACCTCCCGTAGGTCGTAGCTGAAGCGAGAAGCAAGCTAACGTTAGATGGCCAATGCTGAGCTAAACATGTTTACTAACCTCAGGTTACTGACCTATTTGCGTTCAGAGCGGAGCAGCTGTGGTGTTTGTTGTCCTCTCACGTGCGGCCGCGCGCAGCAGATGCTACGTGTTACGTAGGCAGGTTATAGGTAACGGAGGGAGGGGAATAACGGCAAGCTCATCAGACGTTTCCTAAAAATAAACATTGTTCACGAGTCCGAGTCGAGTCTGAAGTCTTTTGAGGACGAGTCTCAAGTTGAGTCTGAAGTCACTGTGTGTGCGACTTCAGTCGCTTATGGAGATAAATATACGCTACTGGCAGCAGTTTACAAAAAACAAAAATCGTCTACCAAATTCTCCTCTGTACATTCTAGTTGATTACATGACACACTGATGAAGTCTCTAAAAAGCTGTAAAACCCTTCACTTTGGAAGGACATAGCTCCTAAACTAAACTTTTTTTTTTTTTTTTTAGCAAACACCAAAAACGTTAAAGGCACGAAGCGCATCATATAGTGTTGCTCTGAATTGTCACTTCCTGTGACATAAAGAGCGAAGACAACTAAAGTGTGACAGCCACAGCATTAACTAAAACACACAAAAACAGAAGGGTTCTACCGCTACGAGGTTTGAACCCTGATTAGAGGCTTCTTTTTTCTCTTGACAGTTTGGCGGTGGTGCAGTTACTCAGACCTTGTAGAAGTAAAAGTAGCAATAACACAATGTAGAAATAATTGTGCCACAAAAGTCAAGCATTCAAGATTTTACTTATGTAAAAGTACAATATAGGTATCAAAATATGCTTAAAAGTACGAACAGTAAAATTATTAAATATGCAGAAATGGACCATTTCAGAATTGCGTATTTTAATTGCATCATCACTTTAATTTTTTTAGCTGGTAATGGTAGGTCTGATTTTTTATTTATTTATTTTGTAATATTATTTATACTGTTAGGTAGCTTGTGAAATCCCTCTGGGGATCAATAAAGCCTTATCTTAACCTATAACAAAACATCATAATGTATTAGTTGATTTCATTTTGTTTTAATAATCTGAATCTGCAGTGCAGTTAGTAACTGAGGTTGTCAAATAAATATGGTGGAACAAGTACAATAATTCCCTCTGAATTAAAAAGTATCAAGTAGCAGAACATGGTATTTGTACTGTAGTTAAATACTGTACTTGAGTAATTATACTTTCTATCAATGCAAAATAAGACACAAATATTCTGAAAGTAGCAGATGAGGTTCCGCAGACAGTGTACGTCTTCGTTTCCTCAGCCTCTGAAGCATCAACTGTGAATGTTAGTGCGGCAGGTTTGATTTCCTTCCCACAGTTTGATCTGGTCTGGTCAATCTGGTTCCTGGTTCTCAGTCTCTCTTCTTGTCTGCTCTCAGGTTCGCCAGCTGCCAGTCCGGACAGCAGTGACAACAGTGACACTCAACACAGTGGAGGCAGCGACATGGAGATGGACGACCAGATGATGAGTGGCAGCAAGAGGAGCCAGCAGAGGCTGTCTGACACAGAGGTAACCTTAACCATCACAACTACATGCCCACCCTTAACCTAATTGTAACCTGAACCCTAAAACCAAGTGTTAACCCTCAAAAAGCAGTCTCTCGTCTATGGGGACCTCAATTTTTGTCTCTACTGTGACACAAGTCCCCATCAGTTAGTGTGCATTCAGGTTATATAAAAACATGCAACACACACAGACGCTTTAAGCTGATTTGGATCCTGCAACCGTGCTGTTTTATTTTTATTTTTTCATTTTGCATTTCCCCTGTCATAAACTCATCAGATGTAGATTAAGGGCCTGTGTCCACCAAAGGCCAGCGTCATTTTTCAATTGATTTCAATGGTAGCGCCGCAGCACGACGAGGTGTTGAGCGTCTTTTCCACGCTGAGCGTTTTTTTTCATTTGGGAGAATTGAAAAATGTTTAACTTCAGGTAAAACGCAGCGCACGTCACTGTCACTCATCCAATCACTGTCCAGGAGGGGCGGGACAAACACCACACCGAGCCATCTCAACTATTGAACAAAACGATGTGCCTCCTCGCCGAGTTATTCCCTCACCCGCAAAATCTCGTGGACCCACGTACGACGAGTCCGTCCCTCGGTCTGTTTCAGCCTTCTCTTCATGCAGAGCAAGGGCCAGAGCAGGGCCTGCGTACTTTTGTGGTGACATTTTACATTCAGTAAAATTAGGTAGCCTACTTGCAGCACATGACCTCCACGGAAATTATGTATGTATGTATGGGGAAAAAAAGTGAGTCGTTTTGTCACGGAGCTTCCTTCATGTGAGAACAATGTCCTAAGATGATCCTTTTAAAAACAGTTTTATTAATTATATTCTTGCTACGCTTTTGTCATAACTGGATTATTAAAATGTCTGTACACAGATTGAATATTTAGTTTGTTCATTTTTTATTTATTGTTTATTTGGACCCCCATTTGTTAGGGCCCATATTTAAATAAAATACGTATAACCAACAATGTACTCACACCCATTCATATATAAAGATTTAAAACTATTTAAATCACATTACCATGCAGAACAAACAACAATCATCTCTCAGTTAGGCGTTTTCAGCTGGTAAAAAATGCTATGGTGGACACAGGCCCTAAGTGGCCCTTTGATACACAGCTGCTGATGGACACAGGAAACATTTGAGTTGCGTATCTGAAATTTTAAACAATCAATTGAACTGGATGAACAAAAACTAATGGTAGCAAATATCAGCAAGGAAAGAACAACGAACGTTTTAAATTCTATTGGTGATTGGAAAGTTCAAAAATGATGCACATGATATCTGAGATTTTCATTTTGTGGAACATTGCAGCAGAAACATTCAGTTAAGTCAAGTTAACAATTAACCTGATCATTTGTGATATTGTTACACTCTGCTGATGTTCCCCCTTTAAAGTGAAGATGTCGTGTGTCTCTGTTGTGTCCTCAGGAGTCGATGCAGGGCAGCTCGGATGAGACGGCCAACAGTGTGGAGGAAGGCAGCAGCGGGCCGGGCAGCAGCAGCGGCCGCAGCGAGGCCTCCAGCAACGAAGCTGCCTCCAGCCGAGCCAGCCAGTCGGCTGGCAGCCCCGGCAGCGAGATGCACTCTGACGACATGGCGGACAGTGAGGCATTAAAGGAGGAGGAGGAGGAGGACGATGAAGAGGAAGACGATGAGGACGATGATGAGGACGATGAAGAGGACGAAGAAGAGGGAAACAGATTGACTGCTGAAGGCGGGCAACAGAAGGAGCCCCGCGAGCAGACGGAGTCGAGGAAGAGGAAGGCGGGGGAGGCACTCGGTGAAGGTCCAAACCAGGGGGCAGGGCCCAGTGGTTCAGGGAGCGGTGCCAAGTCCAAGGTCCTCCCCTTCAACACAGAGACTTCTGCTGTCATGGTTACAGCGTCAACGTCATTGGAGGGCCGGATGAGGATGTTGGATGCCTGTTCTACGTCTTCGTCCGCTCGGCCCGAGGGGACAGAGCCCCAGCAGCAGCCACCAGACATCGGGCCCTCACAGATGGTCCAGGGGCCTCAGGAGCCTCCGTGCCTCCCGCGGCCCGAGGACTTCCTGGGAGAGGCCATGGGCAGTGAGCTCTTTAACTGTCGCCGCTTTATTGGCCCCCAGCACCACCACCACCACCACCACCATCATCATCACCACCATCATGAAGGGTAAGGCCGCCAGCCTAATGCGTGTCTCAGGAAAATTTGTTCAGGACATTTGTGGAACAAACTGAAAACTACGAATCTTGTGACATCTGTGGTCTCAAAAATTCAAATTTGTCTTGATATTTTTTTTTGTAATTCTGCTTGTTGCGTTTATGTATTTCATGTGTACATTAAGAACATTTTGCCTTGTTGGCGCTAGATGAAAGATCAGAAAGTCACTTAAAACATATTTACAGCTAAATTAATGGAAATCTAGTCATTGGTTTTTCAATATCTTTATCTGCCACCCTAACTCCTTTATAAAGCTGTCTTCCCTCCCTCAGTCCCATGGTGGAGGACATGCTGAGTGCTGACGACGTGAGCTGCAGCAGCTCTCAGGTCAGCGCCAAGTCAGAGAAGAACATGGCTGACTTTGACGGTGAGGAGTCGGGCTGCGAGGAGGAGCTGGTCCAGATCAACTCCCACGCTGAGCTCAGCTCCCACCTCCAGCAGCACCTCCCCAACCTGGCCTCCATCTACCATGAGCACCTGGTGCAAGGTGAGCCACATACAGGGCCTTGAAAAGCTTGAAATAATCAGATTATTTTGACCAATACAATACGTTGTGTTAAATCCCCAAGACAAAATAAATGTCAACCTCCCAAAGAACCGGAGAAGCTAATTTTGTGAGCGCTCTAATCTCTGCAGGTCCAGCCGTCCATAAGCACCAGTACTCCAGCAGCCACGCAGTGACTGACATCAACCTAGACAATGTTTGCAAGAAGGGCAACACTCTGCTGTGGGACCTGGTGCAGGACGAGGACGCGGTATGGCTTTTTTTGTTTGTAATGTGTAGAGGTGGTGCTTAACCAACCAACGAACAGCAGTAGGACGCAGTGAGTCTTCAACCACCTCTTTAGCTGCTACTTAAAAACTGTTATTGTAGTTCCTCGATATATAAAGCATGGCAAACTGTTCCAGTGATATATGGCTTTATGCGTTACTGTTTTTGTTTTTATAGCATTTGGCTTTGACCAGAGGTGATAATTGGTTTTCTCATTAGAAGATTCCTCTTAATGATCACAAAGTGTTTCCCAGAAGCAACATGACCAAAAAAATATAAGCACCAACAGCTGAGAAAAACAAAATTATAAAGAGAAGAATAATTAATTAATAATGAGCTCTTCAGTGCGTCACAGGTGAATAAGCACTAGTCAAAGCCAGAAATGCCAACATCCTCAGTGTTCCTGTGTGATCTGATTTTTCGTTTGTCTGTCTTTGTGTTTTCAGATCCATCTGTCTGAGGGTCTGATTAATGAAGCAGAAAAGCTGCTGTGTTCGCTCGTATGTTGGTTCACTGACAGACAGATCCGAATGCGCTTCATCGAGGGTTGCCTTGACAACTTAGCCCACCACAGGTAAGGGTCACCTATACCCGAGCATTGGTCTCATTTTTATTCAGCGTTTTAATAAAATTCATCAATCAATCATTTCCACAAATAAACCGTTAAAATCTGAATGTCTGAAAACTGCATGGAAAATATTTCATAGCACCGTAACGTAACATTGGAGGATGATCATTATTGGTGCTGCTGTTCTGCCTTAAATAACATCTTTTATGATCACGTCTGCAAATATAACGTAAAAGAGGAAAAAAAACTGGTCACACAGCAACAAAAAAATATTTTTTTGTCTTTGTTTTGACCCTCATCTTTTTGTCTTAACCTCAGGTCTGTTGTGGTTTCCTTGCGTCTATTACCCAAGCTTTTTGGCACTTTTCAGCAGTTTGGCTCCAGCTACGACACCCACTGGATCACCATGTAAGTAATGTTTCTAGCTTGTGTATCAGAGCAGCCAAGTTCAGATTAATGTGTTGAACAGCTAGTGGACACTATATGGACAAAAGTTGGAAGGGGCTGTTATTTCATTGTGTGGTCTTTAAGGGAAATCTTGATGCTACATCATATAATTTTAGATAATAGTTCTCCCAGAAGTTTGTGTTTGGCCTTTTCCTGTTTCAATAGGACAATGCCCCCATGCACAAAGCTAGCTCTATAAAGAAATGGGTTTCCCAGTTTGGTGTGAAAGAACTTGACTGGCCCGCACAGAGCCCTGACCTCAACACGATCAAACACCTTTGGGATTGCGTGCCAGGGTCCTCCAATCCAAAGTCTGTTTTCACAAATGCTCTTCTGGATGAATGGGCAAAAATGACTCCATGACTCCTCCGCTCAGCGTCAGCCCCAGTCCACCATCTCCTCCGCCCCCTCCTCAGAGCTGGCCAGCTCCACCCTCTCCCTTCCCCATCTCAGAGAATGATGTCAACAGATTATTCAGGAGGCAGAAACCCCACAAAGCAGCTGGGCCGGACTCTGTATTACTCTATATTACTATATTAATGCCTATGAATTTAGAATGGGATGTAGGTGTCCCAGTACTTTTGTCTATATAGTGTACTTCAAGCTGTGTATTCTTTAAACATATATTTTACAATTTGTCCTGCACACGTTCCAAACTTTTACTGGTCTTAAGATGTTAAATGGCTCCTAAATTAAATTTATGATGACATGAAGAGGGAACTATCTAATATCATGAGTGTGGTACTGATGTGTTTGTCGGTCCTGCCAGGTGGGCTGAGAAGGAGCTGCACATGATGAAACTGTTCTTCGACAACCTGCAGCACTACATCCAAGAAGTCCGTGAACACCTGCACAAGTTTGCGCTGTAAGTCTGTCAGCCTGTCAGCTCTGTCCCACTCAGTTCTGGTTCATCAGAGTGCTTTACAGAGCTGCAACAAGGATTAAAAGCAAGATCACTGCAAAAATATGTGTTTTAATTCGCTTTTGTGCTGCCCTTTTGTCATGTTCAGTCATGTTGACAAACGCTACTTAAATATCTAGTTTAATACCTAGTTTCCTTAAGGTTGTTCCAAACATACATGAGCAGTAACACGCATCAAGAAAACACATTAAAATCACAGACGTTTCTCTCTGTATGATAAAGTTATGGATTCCAGTAAAAATCATATGATTTTAAAAAAGGTCACACCTGATGCTGACATGTCTCCCTTTGACGTGCCGTTGCAGTTACAGCCACAGCGCGGAGGTCCAGGTCCGTCTGCAGTTCCTCACCTGCGTCTTCTCCACACTGGGATCTCCAGACCACTTCAGTAAGAATCAGCTTCTTTTATTCTGCTCAGAGAACAGAAACGTGGTTTGGAAAACAAAAGGATTTATAGTACATTTAAGTCCAACTTAAAAGATAGTTAACGTGTTGATTCACAAGCTGAAGACACTTTTATGCACTAAAAATTTAATCCTGCAGTTGTAACTGTAACACTTAATTTTGAAGAATATGTGTAAAGCTGGCATGAATGTGTATAAAATAAACACGTCATCTTTTAGATATTGAAATTTAATGACTGTTCAAGCTTTAGTTCATCCAAATAAATCATTAAAAAAATCCCCTCATCTATCCCTTCTTATGTCTAGTTATACAGGTGGTATTAGGTTTATGTGCCAACGTTCTGAGAAATGTTTCCTGCCACCCTGATGCAATAGAGGTCCAGCACAATGCTCCCTTTTGTCTGTGTTGTGAGCGAGAATGACGTAACTCTGTTTGAGAGTGAGGGACTGTAGTTGAGATCCAGGCAGGTTTTCATCCTGACTGACATCTAAAAGCCTCTTGTACCTGTTGTACTCTTCCAGAAAAACAACAGTAACTATACTGTATCAGGGGATGATAGAATTTCTTCTGTCTGCTTCATCTTCGTCTGTTATTGTTCTTATCTTTAGTTGTTCTATTTTAAATCCCAAGTTTTGCTAATTTTATTTTTTGAATATCTTAGATTTATGTAGATTCTTTGAGGGCAATAGAAAGTACCATGAACACTTCAGTTATAGATCACCATAAAATTAGTCTGCACAGAATGATTTTTTCCTAATTTTAATTTTCAGTAATATTCTAAGCATAAAGAGGTAAAACTATCAAATATTTCACAATAAAATCAAACTCGAACAACAACAAAAAGGCCTTTTGATGTTGGCACATCGCACCTGTCTGTGTTGTATTAGGTAAAGAAGGTGTAGGTGTGTGATTTTGTGTTTTTCTTTGTGTGTTTTTCCGTCTTTCAGGACTGAGTCTGGAGCAGGTGGACATCCTGTGGCACTGCCTGGTGGAGGACGGCGAGTGTTACGACGACGCGCTGCACTGGTTCCTCAATCAGGTCCGCAGCAAGGACCAGCACGCTATGGGCATGGAGACCTACAAACATCTTTTTCTAGAGAAGGTAAGGACAGAGAGAGGAAACACAAACACGATGCAATATACAGGAATGAGAAGTTTACAAAAAAAAAAGGCAGACATCAAATATTGTCCTTGAAGTCTGGGTGAACTAGTTTCAGTTGCAGGGCTTCCTCTGCTGCTGGAATTTCCTAATTATCTTGGAATTCTGAATGTTTTGTTCTTGGCGAGGAGCAGCCTTGAGTATCCTGGCTATGATACAGTTTTCTGGAGTATAAACCTGGATATGCTACCTGGAGTACGCAGATAGAAACCAGGGAAATTCTTGGTAAAGGTACTTCATTTGGTAGAGGAAATATAGTGGCTGAGGTGGTGAGACATCATGACACATCTGCACACAGATGATCAGAAACCTGGATAGAATCATGTATACAGACATGTTAATAACCAGGTTTCCCAAAGATCAAAACCAAGATAAAACAGGGATTCTAGATTGCTTGTAAATGTACCCACTGCCTCACAACCTCAGCCTTTGCTACGTGATTTGACAAAAGAAGTTCCTACGAGATTTGACTGAGCCTGTTTTGATAAATGTTTCACATAACTGAAAACTACGTGAAGATTTCCTGCATCTAGAAATTCATAAAACATCAGAGAGAGAAAATTAATTATGATTTCAACGGCACAACCCATTTCTCCTCAGACTTCTGTAGAAAGTAGTCCATCCATCTATCTGTTTTCTAAACGAGGTGGTATCAAAGTCTTAAGACTGTGGGCCTCCGCTCACACCCCCTTTGCACAACTGCTGGATGCCTTTGGGCCTGTGTCCGGCAAAGAGTTTTTTTTCCTGAGGCCAGTTCATTCCAATGGGAGCGTCACGTTTTTACTACATGGTACTACATGGTAACGATGCGCCGCTGGCGTCTATTCCGCGCTGAGCGTTTTTTCCCAGTCGCAGAGAGTTGAAAAATGTTCAGCTTTGGGAAGAATGCTGCGCTCGTCACTGTCACTTTTTACCCAGTCATCCAATCACAGTCCAGGAGGGGCGGGACAAACACCACACCAAGCCATCTCAGCTCTTGAACGAAACGATGTGCCTCCTCGCCGAGTTATTTCCTCACCCGCAAAATCTAGGGCCTATTAGCCAACTTATTAGTTTCTGACTCTGGGATAGTAGGAAACAAAGTTCATTCAACATCCCAAAAAACTAATGTATCTCTGAAGGAACTCTTTAACCAATTTACACTTGTTTTGGCAATTCCATGTGAACTTACTAACCTTGGGAAACCCACTTTGAGAATTTCTAAACTGTGCATCTTCCTCAAGTTCAAACCTATCCCAGCATGTGAAGCTTATCTAGAAAAGTGTTTTTTCTTCGAAGAAGAGAAAGACCAATGAGATTTTGTTGAGAGTTGTTAGACATATCAGTTGTCAGAAGTAGACCTATCAGTTTGTCCTCAGCAAATTCATCTATGATCATGTCAGATGACAATGAGAGAAGGAAAAACAACTCTACTTAATGAGACAGTTTACAGCAGAGTTTCTTACATTTATTCCACTGGATGATTTAAGCTGAGCTCCAGTGGAAACATGGTAATTAGCCCTGAACAGCTGTGTTGATGTTGTTTTTTGTGTGTGTGTGTGTCTCCAGATGCCCCAGCTGAAGCCAGAGACTATCAGCATGACGGGCCTCAACCTCTTTCAACACCTCTGTAACCTAGCCCGCCTCGCCACCAGCGCACTGGACAACGCCTCCAGCTGTGAGGTAAACAAACTCCTTCTGAGTCATTCCTTCAGATTTACAACAGTATTTAAAAAAAACAAAAAACAAATGTATAATAACATTGGCAGAACTTTAATAACTTTATATTTGTTGCTGTGGAAAAAGGTTTGTAGACAATGTGGAGACTGGAGCTTTGCATACATGTTAGAAGTACTCATCTTTAGTTAAACCAGAGACAGTTACCCGTGTGTGTGTGTGTGTGTGTGTGTCTGTCTCCAGCTGTGTGGGATGGACCAGCTGTGGGGCATCGCTCTGAGAGCTCAGTCTGCTGATATCAGCCGCGCCGCGATCCAGTACATTAACTCCTACTACATCAACGGTTAGTGTTCCTCCGTCGTTTACACTCAGAAAACACCGTTTACACACCTTAATGCAAATATTTTGACTGTCATATCAAGTGTTTTTTTTTTTTACCTTGAATCTGATTATCTTTGGCTTTTGTCGCTTATCAACAGAAAGCTACATTTTATGTCAAATTGAATATCAAACATCTTTTTACCATGTGACTAACGACTTCAAAGAAAAGAAATATCTGGTTTTGTCCTGCATCATGTCTTTTCTGTATGCTATGTGTATGGTAACATCTCCAGCTGGTAAGACAGGCCTGGAGAAGGAGCAGGAGTTTATCAGGAAGTGCATGGAGAGTCTGCTGATGGCTTCAGCCAACCTGGAGAAGGACGCCCACTCCAGCCTGACCAGCATCGAGAGGGGGCTACTCATGCTCAAAACACACCTGGAGGCCTTTCGACGCAGGTACACACACCAGAAATACTTACGGGAGGACTCAGATATACAGCCATTAATGTAAAAACGCATCTCAGCAGCACAGTGTTTTCTCTTCCTGTCCTGTCAGGTTTGCGTACCACCTGCGGCAGTGGCAGATCGAGGGGACGGGAATCAGCAGCCACCTGAAGGCACTGAGCGACAAACAGTCTCTGCCGCTCCGGATCGTCTGTCAGCCCGCCGGCCTTCCTGACAAGGTGACAAATCTACACTGCACACTACACTGGTTTAAGTTTTTGTTTTGTCCCAGTGAAATTCGCTGCTACATGAGGACATTATGATAATGCATTCCACGCATAGTGGCTTACAGTGAAAACATGGAGGTAGACAATGAATATCATATTGGCTTTAATTTTTTATTAGGAATTGAATCTTTCGAGTCAACGTTTATTTGAATCTTAACGTAAATCTCAAACAGTTACGTCTTTAGGTTCAACCTTTATGTATACTTTGTGTCAACTTTCAGATGACGATCGAGATGTACCCCAGTGACCAGGTCGCAGACCTGCGAGCTGAGGTGACCCACTGGTACGAGAACCTGCAGAAGGAGCAGATGAACCAGCAGGCTCAGCTGCAGGAGTTCGGCCAGAGCGGCCGGCAGTCGGGAGACTTCCCAGGTCAGCTCCCACTGACCCTCCCCTTGTTATTGTTTACTCACAAACAAACCTCTCCAGACCAGTTGTCACACGGTCACCACGTCCCCCTGGTTTGATGCCTTTTTAAAAGCCTTTGTGAGCTGGGGTGTTAAGTGTGTTTTGTGTCCTGCAGGTGGTTTAATGGGACCAGTCAGGATGATCTCCTCTGGCCACGAGCTGACTACAGACTACGACGAGAAGACTCTGCATGAGCTGGGCTTCAAAGACATGCAGGTGACTGCCTCTCTTACCTTATGTTTGTCAGTACCTAAAAACCACCAACTTCAAGACAGAGTTTGGAGACTGTGGTCTAAATAAAAAGTTTTTGTTACATAATTAATTACTACTTTTTGTCAGTCCAAAAGTCTGCATTTGTTGTTTTATTATTTCTAATCATCTGGTGGCAGATTGTGTAAAACCCAGCACAGGTGAATCATTGCCGCGTCATGTGTGTCTGTTTGATCCAGATGGTGTTTGTGTCTCTGGGAGCTCCACGGAGGGAGAGGAAGGGGGATGGCATACAGCTACCGGCCTCCTGTCTGCCTCCTCCCCAGAAGGAGCACATCCCCATGCTGCTGCTCCTCCAGGAGCCGCACCTCACCACACTGTTCGACCTGTTGGAGATGCTGGCCTGCTTCAAACCGCCCAGCGTCAACACAGAGAAGGACCATGAAAACCCTGAGGTTGGTGTGACTGATGGAAGAAGGATGCATGTATGCAGAGCAACAAGTAATGTGGACAAAAAGATCGCAGGAACTTAAAAATGAAAGGGTTTTGTGTGTGTGTGTCCATGCAGAGCATGCGGTGTGAGGAGCTTCACCTCCATGCAGAGAATCTCTCTCGTCGGGTTTGGGAGCTGCTGATGCTGCTTCCTACGTGTCCCAAGATGCTGCAGGCCTTTCAGAACATCTCTGACGATGCGGTAAGTCACCAAACTTTCATGAGTTAACGGCAGAATGACAGAGCACTAAATCCCGGTGTCAGAATTCAAGAAGAGCAAAGATTTATACATAGAGAATAGGAAACGCAGAGATCAGCACCGAATAACTGAACTTTTGGTGGTGTCTAGAATGGGGAGGGACTGTGCTGGAAGGAGCTGCTGAGGATTAAAAGTCCCCACAAGCTGCTGTACGCTCTGGAGATCATCGAGGCTCTGGGCAAACCCAACCGACGGATCCACCGAGAGTCCACTGTAAGGAAAAACACTATTATTTATTTTTAAAAAGACCTGTCCACATACATTATCTTGTGTCTGGTTTTGTAATGTGTTCTGGAGTTTTCTTCAGTTTGTCTATTGTGAAGGCAGAATTAGGAGTTAAGACAAGATGAAAATAGAAATAAAACATTTCTTTTCTAAAGTTGAAAATGCTGAAATGGATAAATATTTATTTTCTGCATCCAGGTGTGTGTTATGTACATGAACAACATCAACACAGATTTATAAAAACAGCACCTCCTTGTGCTCTTTAGACTTGTATGTTTGTACTGTTTACAAATCTCACTGTTTGTATTTCCAGGGCAGCTACAGTGATCTGTATCCAGACTCTGACGACTCCAGTGAAGATCAGATAGAAAACAGCAAGAACACCTGGAGCTGCAAGGTACAACACAGCACAACATCTGTGATGGATGTCATTGTGTTTATGACAGATATGGCAGTTGTAAGTCGCTTTGGATAAAAGCGTCAGCTAAATGGATAAAAGTATTTATGTGAATGTATGTAGAATAGAAAAAGAGTCGATTCCAAACAGCTACAGTAGGATTCAGTTTTTGTCTTTCTCTCGTCCAGTTTGTTTCGTCTGGAGGCCTGCAGCTGCTCCTGGAGATCTTCAACTCGGGCATCCTGGAGCCCAAGGACCAGGAATCCTGGACTGTGGTGAGAGAGGCTATGTCCCTAGAAATCAGGGGAAGGTTTTCTCTTCAGTAAGCTGGTTACTTAAGATGATTTGGGTTCAATTACACATTTTGATAATCTGAGTGTAAATGGAAGGAGTTGTTTGATTTGTGTTTCTTAACGAAGTCTCTCAGCCGCTCGTGTGAGGTTTTCATTTTCTCTTTTCTGTCTCCTCTGCAGTGGCTGCTGGACTGCCTGGCCTGCCTGCTCAAGCTGATCTGCCAGTTCGCGGTGGACCCTGCAGACCTGGACCTGGCCTACCACGACGTCTTCTCATGGTCCGGCCTGGCCGAAAGCCAACGGAAGCGTGCATGGCCTGGCAAATCCCGCAAGTCCACCGTAGAGCACGGGAAAGGCCTCCACATCCCTCGGCTGACTGAGGTAAATGTTTGCTTGTTGAGGATCTGTGCAGCAGCGATTATCTCAGCCACTCCGGGATTTGATCATCAGCTGATCTGTCTGGTGATTTGCAGGTGTTCCTCAGCCTCGTACAGGGTACCAACCTCATCCAACGCTTGATCAACGTGGCCTACACCTACGACAACCTCGCGCACCGGTGACAAATACATGAGAACAAAAAAATGTTCTTCTGGTGTTTCAATACTAGATAAAGTATAATTTACATGTTGTCTTTTGTTCAACAGAGTTCTGAAGGCTCAGTCTGACCACAGGTCTCGTCATGAAGGTGAGAACTTAAGAATTACATTTATTATCATTTCGCTTTCATGATGTAAATTTCCCCACAACGATCAACGATAAAACTCTGAAAGGAAAAGGGAAAACAGAAGCATGCAGAGAGGATAGAGAAACCTAACCCCAAAACAAATCGGGCCTCTGAAGTCAATAACAACAACAGAAATGGACCTGATTCAAACACTGATGTTTGGCATTGACATGACTGCGATTTCTCTTTCTCACAAGTGACTCACTATTCCATGTGGCTGCTGGTGAGCTGGGCTCACTGCTCCTCCACGGTGAAGTCCAGTCTGGCCGACAGCGAGCACCTTCATGACTGGCTGAAGAAACTTACCCTGCTGGTGCCCGAGGTGAGCCGGTCCAAACACCCACAGGGCGCCAATAAGTTTAGAATAAACGGCACCTACCAGCTCTTATAAAGCTCACTAATTAACACTTTATATATTGTTTGTTTGTTTAATCCATACAAAAACAGAACTGTAAAAATGTCAAGTTGTTATTATACCTTGGTAAACAAATGAGATGAAACATGTTAGGCTCTGCTAGGCTGCTGCAGGCTTCAGTTTCATAGATAAGACAGATGAGAGAGTGTTGATCTTATCATTAGTGGCAGTACATGAAGGCAAATAAGCAAGATATTGAATCATGCCTTAAATAAGTTATTTCATTTAAGACTGGGGAGCGCTTGATTTAATGCACCAGAGCCGGTATTCTGCCAGCAAGCTGCCAATGTTATATATGAAGAGTTTAACTAATTATAAAAGCTCGAGTGATCCAGCTGAATACCAAGGGCAACAAATCACAGGACTGAGATGCCTTAACCGGTTCCAAAAACCACAGAAGAAGAGCACTCTCACACAAAGCAAGCAAAAACAAACAACATGTAGACTTCACAAAGAAATCTGTAACTTAAACACTTCCATCAGTTTGTCGTCTGACTTTTTGTCGTTGTTTTCAGCCGGCTGTGAGACACGAGGCGTGTAACGGCCTCTACAAGCTCTCTCTCTCGGGTTTGGAGGGAGGAGAGTCCATCAACAGATCCTTCCTGCTGCTCGCCGCCTCCACGCTCCTCAAGTTCCTGCCTGACGCACAGGCCCTCAAACCACTGAGGGTGGGTCTCGCATACACACACTCAAGCTGAACTCCATAGAAGAAAGTACGCAGCAAACTGCAAGCTACACTCTGTGTCAGAAGTCCTCAGGGGCAATGATCTGACTCAATTTGAGCTTTGCTACAGTGAGACCAGTTTCCTCAGTGAGACATTTTCCCTCTGGTGGGATCAGTGCTTGAGAGACTGGGACACGTTCTGAATACAGACGCACTCTGGAGTTTTGGTGTATACAGTAATACATTTCAACATTTAATGCTGTAAATAAACATTTAAAAAAACAAACAAAAAACTTTTCAACAAATGTTTTTAAAGTGCGTAAATAAATCCTAAATTGTTACCCTAACCCTGGGGCGTCAGTGCACATGTGTAGCGTAGCGTGTGTGTGGTGACAGAAGAGGAACACTTGCTGAAGAGACAGACGCTGGTGTTGTGCAGAGTTGTCCGCACCGCGCGGGACTTTCGGAAATTTATCACAGTTGATGAACCCACAATAATATTATCGTTTTTAAACAGCCGGCTACTTGAAGCAGCACGCACGCAAAAGTCTGCAAAAGACTGGTGAATGACAGGCGAGAGAGAGAGAGAGAAAAGGGTTTAATAGGCCTCAGTTTACTTGGAAATTTACAGTGTAAGTTGAAGCTACCATGTGTTACACAGAAGTAAACATGGAGGCCACAGAGGTTCGCTCATACTTTCTAAACCTCCCCATTCTTCCAGGCGTCACAATTCTCCTGATTCATGGCAAATGTTCACAACTTGTGTACTTTTCATTGCATTCATGACCATTACAGCGAGTACAAGCCCTACAACACAAGATTCTCTCTCTGTTTCCACCTGTACAAGTTCACATTTCAGAAAATCCGACCTGTATCTGATTTGGACCACTTATGATACTGGGCCTTACAGGAAAAGATCAGATTCCATGTGATGCTGTTTTGGGTCACTTTGGCCTGCAGTCTGAACGCAGCCAATGAGTCCTAATCTAGGTTCAAATTTCAGCCCGTGTCCAAATCTCAACAGAAAACTCGTCTTCAGGAACCCAGCAAGCACACAAACAAGTTGACAGCCCCGCTGCAGTCGTTTACCTGCAGAAGTTGCAGACAAAATTACCCGTCTTTTTAATCACACTATGAGTGACTCTACTAATGATTCTGCTTTAATTTATGAAGATGATACTGAGTGCAGAATGTGTGTATTTTGCCTTTAACAAGAGAGTTCGATGGTAACGTGTATTTGCAGATGGAGGACTATGAAGAGGAGCCTCTGTTAAGGACGGGCTGTAAGGAATACTTCTGGCTGCTTTGTAAACTCATCGACAACATCCATGTTAAAGACGCCAGCCAGGTGGGAACCTCAGACCACAGTACAGATGTCATATTGATCTTAAGTCGCTTGATAGATCCAGTTAATTGTGCAGTTGGTAGTATAGTTGTGATGTTTTATTGAACTGTTGCTAGTATTGGTCTGTTTGAACTCACAGAAGGTCTCTCCCTCTCTGTCGCTGGCCGGCTCGATGCAGACCACCCTGCTGGACCTGGACGCTCTCGCCCGACACCTCGCCGACTGCATCAGGAGGTCAGACAGGCATATACTGAATACAGTTTCTTTTCTATTTTGAGAAGGGGGTTGAGTTGCTTATTCTTTAGCTGTATGGTTAGTTTGTTGTTCAGTGTGAAACACCCGCCCGCCATGACCTCCGTGTTCCTCTCCCCTCCAGCCGTGAGATCCTGGATCAGCAGGACGGGACGATCGAGGACGACGGGCTGACCGGCCTCCTGCGTCTCGCCACCAGCGTCCTCAAACACAAGCCCCCCTTCAAGTTCTCCCGTGAGGGTCAGGAGTTCCTGCGGGACGTCCACAACCTCCTCTTCCTGCTGCCAAGTCTGGCCGACCGCGCTCAGCCCAAATGCAAGTCCCACGCTGCCCGGGCCGCCGCCTACGACCTGCTGGTGGAGACGGTGAAGGGCTCAGTAGAGAACTACAGGCTGCTCCACAACTGGGTCATGTCGCAGCACATGCAAGGTGAGGACGCTGGCTACGTCACTTTTTCATTTGGTTTGGTCTTTTATAGGTCTGAAGGTTTCTTCTCTGCTAACGTGCTGGCTCATCGTTTCTTTACCGCATTATTTTGTTTTATGATTTCAAGGAAACTTTATAAAATAACCTGATGAAATTAACTTAATATTAATGAATCAAATAACAAAAATCCCTTCTTACCAATTTTCTCTTCTTACCAACACACAGATTTGCCTTAATGGCTTGTTTTCAGCAACAGTATATACAGAATTCCAAATATTATGAATTTTAACAAATGGAAATACTACATGCACATGCTAAATTATATTACTGATAAGCACCTCAAGGACATGCAGAAAATTCTAGTTTACTTTAAAGCTGCGTTGTAACATGTGCGTTGCATGTTTAGCCATTAAGCATAAAAATTTCAAAACAAGCGTACAGACGCACAACACCATGACACCACCTTAGAAAACCTTTATTATTTACACATCCACCAGACACAAAGCAACATATAATTTATTTAGAGTTGTGTTTCTGACCACCTGACGAATCTGAATCGAAAAATCACTTTTTTAAAATTATAGTAGGAACCCCATCTGCAAGCTACACTCTGTGTCAGAAGTCCTCTGGGACGATGATCTGACTCAATTTGAGCTTTGCTACATTGAATCCAGTCTGTTTCTGTGAGACATTGTCCCTCTAGTGGGATCAGTGCTGGAGAGACTGGGACAACCTTTACAGCGAATGAACTATTCTACAGTAAATGTGCTTTAAAACTACAACAGTGAGCTAAAATTTAATGTCAGAAATATTGGTTAGTGTAGGTTTAACAGGAAAAAAGTGTCTAAATATACCAGTAGGCAAAAGTGCCACCAGGTACATCAGACATTTCCTAAAAAAATGCCAAAACTTTCTTCTGATATTCTTCCTTTAGCCTCTCACGCCCGTACAAGTGGGACTACTGGCCCCATGACGATGTTCGGGCTGAGTGTCGCTTCGTGGGTCTGACTAACCTGGGAGCAACCTGTTACCTGGCCTCCACCATCCAGCAGCTCTACATGATCCCTGAGGCCCGCCAGGCTGTCTTCACTGCTAAGGTCAGTGGCAGCAAGACCACACTGCACTGCAGTGGCCTGCAAGACCAAACTCAGGGCAGAGCATTCCATCACATTTACCTGACGCTTTTTTATCCAAAGCAACTTACAATTGTTATATATGTCAGAGGTCGCAGGCCCCTGGAGCAACGAGGGTGTCTTGCTCAGTGGATGTGTCACAGTGGGAATTGAACCCGGGTCTCTCACACCAAAGGCATGTGTCCTATAGGGATGCAGCGATTACCGGATTTCACTATTAACCGCTCTTTAAAACGTCACCGTTAATTAATCATAAAGGAGTGTTTTTGTTGCACAAAACGAAAAGAAAGTTAGACGAGCGGTGCGCCAGCTCAAAGTGTCGCGCTTATCAGAGGCTACTGTACACTGGCTTAACTCTGGCAGAGGGACCAAATTGTGAAGCTTTATTTCTACCAAAGAAACGGCTGAAGTCGGCATTGTGGGAGCGTACAGGAAGTCTGACCAGGGCGTTACTGAAGATGACGGATCACCTGTTCAAAAACTTGCGGTTAAAAGGTTGCTGCTAAAGGAGTGAATGCCTACATTAAACTTGATGGAGAACCTGCGGGATCACCACCCAAGTAAAGGTAGAGGTAGGCCTGATACATTATATTAAATAACGTTGCAAGTTGGTAGGAAATTAAATATAAACGTGTCACTTACAATCACTTACCGTGGCGGTGAGAGTCGAGCTTTCAGTGCAACGTAAACAACCAAAGCAGCGCGTAACCTTTGAGACCCGCCGCAACAACAGCATTGAGGCCCATTATTTTTGTTGCTGCGTCAAGCAACGTGCACCGCAAGGTGAGCTCGCGCGCACGCTGCGGTCAAAGTAGTTGAACTTTAGCGCTAAGAAGCTTCCACGCACTGCAAATCGCCTCTTTTCTGAAAGGGCCTTTATGGATGAGAGAACGTAGGCTAGTCCTCACAAGACCTTCAGTCAGTGAACATTTAAAATTACATCATGTTGTCTTCTGTCTGTGTTGCCAGGTGTAAAACACTAACATAACATCAGGAGCTTATAGACTTTCAGGACTATAGGCTACCACTTAACTGCATTTCAGTTAACACTGCACTCCATTTCTTTCACTAAAACTTATATGTACGGATGAGAGTTGATGACAGTAACAGTTCAGTTTATTCCCCTCCTTTATAACAATTTCCCCTGGGGGATAAAAGTTAATATTCCTCATATATTAATAATACTTACATATTATAAAAATATAATTGTTAATGTAATTAATATTAAAAATGTACTTAAGTCATTACTAGTGTTGTGAAATAAATTAATGCATAATAATCGTGAAACCGTGATTATTTCCCTGACAATAATTGCGCCAACAAAATCGTTGCATCCCTAGTGTCCTATCCACCACCCCACATCGTTAAAACATCAGTCAAATTCAAAGCAGATTCTCATCAAGTGTGTGTGTGTGTGTGTGTGTGTGTATGTGTGCACAGTATGCTGAGGATATCAAACACAAGACCACGCTGCTGGAACTGCAGAAGATGTTCACATATCTCATGGTGAGTTTTACATTTACACCTCCAACTGTGTTTATAGTGAAACCCAATACCAGAGAAAATAGCCTGCCCTCGCATATGAAAGGCAAAATTCAATTAGATGTTAATATCATAAAGTAATATACAACATGTTGCTTATCTGTTACCAGTTAAATTAGAAATGGATATTAGTTTTAAGATTCTTTACCTTTGTAGTTGATGTTATGAGTTTGAAGCAGCCACACAGCTGTCTCATCATCTCTGTCCAATGCTTTGTCTGCTCAGGAGAGTGAGAGGAAAGCGTACAACCCGCGGCCGTTCTGTAAGACCTACACCATGGACAAACAGCCTCTCAACACTGGAGAGCAGAAGGACATGACAGAGTTCTTCACCGACCTCATCACCAAGATAGAGGAGATGTCCCAGGAGCTGGTAAACACACAGCGCTACAGAAGTCACACCAATAACAACCAATCCCCAACAGAGCGAAACAGTGAAATTTTACTTATATCAAGCCATTTTACAGTGTCTCCACAAACGCTACAACTCTTTCTAGGAATAAAAACCCAACAACAAATTTCCTTATTATAGAATTACCCAATAATGTCAGAGGTTGATCCTAAACAAACCGAAAAACCTGATATTTAAATGAATTTGAGTTAAAGAAATAAAAGCATATTTTCAGATGAGACATAAAGAACATTACAAAAAGCTTAGAAATAATTAACCATAACAAAATGCTAAAAAATAGTTAGGTTTACATATTTAACAGCCTGATGTCCACGTCTTGACACATCAAAGTTGAAAAAAAAAATGGGAATCAACTGTATTAATTAATTAATTTCTCTTCTTTGTCTCACAGAAAACACAGTGAAGACTCTGTTTGGAGGCGTCATCACCAACAATGTGGTCTCTCTGGTGAGTTTAAAGATATACTCTGGTCTCTAGTCTGTGAATTTTCCTTTTATATACAGAAATCCATTTATATTTGAAATTTAATCTTTGCTCGATTTAGTTTGTGTTTCTGGCACCTTTACAAATATTTTATTATCATATTAAGAATATCCACTGTTCTCATGTTGAATTCAGGTTTAAGAACCTGCATTGAACTATACATCTTAAGTTTGTACTTAGTATCTTCAGAAAGCATTTTCCCAATTTAGTTCTGACACTTTTTGTCGTCTGTCCTGCAGGACTGTGACCACGTCAGTCAGACTGCTGAGGAGTTTTACACAGTCAGATGTCAGGTGGCGGATATGAAGAACATCTACGTAAGTATGCAAAACACAGCAAACATCAGCTCCAAAAAAAACCGAAAAACCTGTACATTTATCAAAGTCGCTTCACACTATCTCATATAATGTTCTGTTAAAAAGT